AAAATTTAAAAACTAAAAAAAAAAAAAAAAAAGAAACTGATTGTTATACATTTGCAGAACATCAGCTTGAGTGCAGCAGTATTCAGGATACAAAATCATAAAGATACTGCTGTTTTGTCCAAGAATCTTGGACACAAGGCAGAGATCTCCATGAAAAGGGTGTTGGTGAGAGAGGAGAAGTTAGGAATGGTTTCTTTTTTTCTGAGACGGAGTCTTGCTCTGTCGCCCAGGCTAGAGTGCAGTGGCGCGATCTCGGCTCACTACAACATCTGCTTCCCAGGTTCAAGCAATTCCCCTGCCTCAGCCCCCTGAGTAGCTGGGATTACAGGCGCACGCCACTGCGCCCGGCTAAGTTTGTATTTTTAGTAGAGAAGGGTTTCACTATCTTGGCCAGGCTGGTCTCAAACTCCTGACCTCGTGATCCACCCGCCTTGGCCTCCCAAAGTGCTGGGATTACAGGTGTGAGTCACCACGGCCAGTCAGGAATGGCTTCTATGCACACTTGATTTTCCATGGAAATTGGTGGAAAAAATAATTCTAGAAAGAGCAAATCTTATAGACTGAAATATTTTGGAGTATGAGGTATAGGCTAACAGAAGGTGAAGTAATGCCCCTGGTTTTTTGAGATGTGCCAAGAATCATATCTAATATGAGAACTAATTTCTTCCTCACAGCAACACTAAGGAAAGTAGCCTGAGATTATCTAGAGTCCTGGATTACACGCCCAGGTATGCACGCCCAAGTATGAAATTTTGGTGTCAGAGCTCATGATAGGAATTCTGCAATAAAGAAACTCTTAAAGGGTCAAAAGCAACCAGAAGAAATGAAGTGAAACAGGAGAAATCAGAAAAGAGAAGGGTAAGTTTGTTTCTGGGTTGAATGGAGCGTCTAGTGCTAACTCCACAAAAGGATGTATTTTATCTAGATTCTTAGCACTGTGATGCTTAGCTGCTACACAGCCATGAGTAAGTGGTCATCTATCTTACCAGCGTCTTGATGCCATGTTTCCACCCCTTAAGTCACACAAATATCTCCTCTGCCTTTCTTTTCTCTCTTCAAAAATTGTGACATAGTTTCAGTAGCAGCTGACAGGTGAAATATTTTAATGTCATTTTTAACATACAAAGCTTTATGTTCTCCTGAAAATAAGGGACAAACAAAAGGAATATTTGAATAGGGTTCACGTGAATTCAGTTGAGATATCAACTTCATAGCACAGTTTTACACATCTTTTATTAATAGGGGCTTTGAACTCACCAATTGGCAAAATCTGACAATACGAAGTGTTGGCAAGAATTCAGAGCAATGGAGAACACCCACACACAGTTGGTGGACGTCTGAATGGGTGTGAGCACTTTGAAAAATAATTTGGCATCTCTTACTAAAGTTGAACATATCCTCCAGCCAGCAGTTTCACCCCTATATATAAACCTCAGAGAAACACACATATGTGCCAAGAGACGTGTATAAGAATGTTCATAGCATTATCGTTTATATCAAAAATTGGGAACAATCTAAATGCCCACCAACAAAAGGATAAATTGCAGTACAGTTGTAATAAAATGCTTATATATTAAATAACAGTGTAAATAAATGAGCTACAGTTACCTGATACACCAGGAATGAATCTCAAAAACATACTGTTGAGGGGGAAAAGCAAGTCATGGAATAATAGACATAAAGACAGAAGCAAACGATATTTTTCTCAGGAGTACATTCTTAGGGGTATAAGGAAAGTAAAGGAATAATTATCACAAAAGTCAGGATTGTGGTTACCTCTGGTATGGGGTGGGAAGAGCAGATTTAATTAGAGAAGACAAACTGGGGATCTCTAAGGTGCTAACATACCCTATTGTTGTTTTGTGATAAGGTCTTGCTACATTGCCCAAGCTGGAGTGTAATGGCTATTCACAGGCACAACCATAGCTCACTGCAGCCTTGAACTCCTGGGCTCAAGCCTCTGGGTAGCTGGGACTACAGGCGTGGACCACCATGCCCAACCACACCCTATTGTTTTTTTTAACCTCTGTGGTGGGTGCTGGATGTTCATTTTATTGTTATTCTTTAAACTACGTAATTATTTTTACACACTGCTGTATGATGTATTTCACAACAAAAGAAAATTAAAGGCCAGGTGCGGTGGCTCACACCTGTAATCATAGTATTTTAGGAGGCTGAGGTGGGCGGATCACAGGTCAGGAATTCGAGACCAACCTGGCCAACAGGTGAAACCCCGTCTGTACTAAAAATACAAAAATTAGCCGGGCATAGTGGCACACACCTGTAATCCCAGCTATTTGGGAGGCTGAGGCAGGAGAATCACTTGAACCCAGGAGGTGGAGGTTGCAGTGAGCCGAGATGGTGCCATTGCACTCCAGCCTGGGAGACAGAGCAAGACTCCATGTCAAAAAAAAAAAAAAGGGAAAATTAAAGAAGTTTGAAGCCAGTCACTGTGGCTCACACCTATAATCCCAGCACTTCAGGAGGCTGAGATAAGAGGATCACCGAGCCTAGGAGTTAGAGACACCCTGGACAATAAAGTGAGACCCCACTTCTAGAAAAAAAAAATTAAAATTAGCCAGGCATGTGGCTCAAACCTGTAGTCCCAGCTATTCAGGAGGCTGAGTCAGGAGGATTGCCTGAACCCAGAAAGTCGAGGCTGCAGTGAGCTGCGATTTTGTCACTGTGCTCCGAGCTGGGCAACAGAGCAAGATCTTGTCTATTAAAAATAAATAAATAAATAAGTTTGACACATTTTCACCTACAAGGTATTCTTATACAAACAAATGATATCTGAATCTGCTTAAGATTCCAGGACCTGGTGGCGCACACCTGAAGAACCCAGATCCAACTACCGTTGTATAGGAAATACGTGGGATAATGGAACACAGAACAACACAGGGACACAATTTTAAAATTCTGAAGTCTGGACGCAGTGGCTTACACCTGTAGTCCCAGCACTTTGGGAGGCTGAGGCAGGCAGATCACTTGAGGTTCAAGACCAGCCTGGCCAACATAGTGAAACCCTGTCTCTACTAAAAATACAAAAATTAGCTGGGCATGGTAGTGGCTGCCTGTAATCCCAGCTACTCAGGAGGCTGAGGCAGGAGAATTGCTTGAACCCAGAAGGCGGAGGTTGCAGTGAGCCCAGATGGTACCATTGCACTCCAGCCTGGGTAATACAGCAAGATTCCATCTCAAAAAAATATAAATAAATAATAAATAAATAAATAAAATAAAATTCCAGACCCTAGGAAACTGTAGAGAACAAATAACTTGGTTTCTTCAACCAAAATTTGTAAGAAAATAAAAAAAGAGGCCGGGCGTGGTGGCTCAAGCCTGTAATCCCTGCACTTTGGGAGGCCGAGACGGGCGGATCACGAGGTCAGGAGATCGAGACCATCCTGGCTAACACGGTGAAACCCCGTCTCTACTAAAAAAATACAAAAAACTAGCCGGGCGAGGTGGCGGGTGCCTGTAGTCCCGGCTACTCGGGAGGCTGAGGCAGGAGAATGGCGTAAACCCGGGAGGCGGCGCTTGCAGTGAGCTGAGATCTGGCCACTGCACTCCAGCCTGGGTGACAGAGCAAGACTCCGTCTCAAAAAAAAAAAAAAAGAAAAAAAGAAAAAAAAAAGAGATGGAACCTATAAATTAAAAGAAACCTGAGAGATATATTAAGTATATTACAATATCAAGCAATTGTAACGTGCAATGTAAAGATGTTATTTGGATGCTGATTCAAGTAACCTGAAAAATATACATAAAATAATTGGGAAAATGTGATCACTGGTTTTAATTTTGACATTATTTTATAAGAAATTATATGTGTGCGGGAGGCTGAGGTAGGAGCATTGCTTGAACCCAGGAGGCAGAGGTTGCAGTGAGCCAAGATGGCGCCACTGCACTCCAGCCTGGGTGACAGAGCAAGACTCTATCTCCATTAAAAAAAAATAAATTATATATTTGATGATAGCATTGTTATTTATTTTAAAAATAGTTCCTATCTTTGCAGAGGTACACATGAAATAGTTACAGATAAAATGATATGAAATGGGAAGGTTGAGAGGGAATAGGGAGTGACGGTTAATGGGAACAGGATTTATTTTTTTGGGATGATGAAACTATTCTAAAATTAGATTATGGTGAAGGTTGCTCAACTCTGTAAATACACTAAAAACCACACTAAATAGGTGAACTATAGACATGTAAATTGGATCTCAGTGAAGCTGTAAAAAATGATACAAAGTCAGGGATTTTCTTCCAAATCATCTGATGTGGAGGGTTTAAGTGGAGGAATCAAAATTAACCATGTGTCACCAGTAGTTGCACCTGAGCCACAGTCATATAAGCTCATTTTACTTTTCTTAGACATTTTCTATAATAAAAGGTTTTGAATAAAAAAGATTTGAAGAAAAGGCCGAGCCGTCGCGTGCCTAGCATGCTGCATGGAAGCCGAAGCTTGACCTCCCGCGTGACCCCTCTGGTCAGCCGGGCCCCTCAGATGAGAATTGCACCCAGGCCAGCACCAGCCGCTAAGCCACCAGCAGCGGCACCCCCATCTGCAGTTGGCTGTCCTGCTGCTGCGCCTCAGCAGCCAGGTCTGATGGCCCAGATGGCAACCACTGCAGCTGGCGTGGCTGTGGGCTCTGCTGTCGGGCACACATTGGGTCACACCATTACTGGGGGATTTAGTGGAGGAAGTAATGCTGAGCCTGCGAGACCTGACATTACTTACCAGGAGCCTCAGGGAGCCCAGCTGGTACAGCAGCAGCAGCCTTGCTTCTATGCGATCAAACAGTTTTTGGAGTGTGCCGAGAACCAGGATGACATCAAGCTCTGTGAGGGTTTCAATGAGGTGCTGAAACAGTGCTGACTTGCAAAAGGATTGGCCTAATCAAGAAGTTCAACCTGGAGAAATGGGAAATCAGCTCTATAACCAAGTTAATTTAGTATAAAAATAGAATTGATAGTGAAGGTATAAAGTGTAACCATTAGTTGCTTCCTTGCTTCTGAATTGAAATGGAAGGAGGTGTTCCTACTCTGTAGAAGTTGGAGCTGGGCACATGTTTGTGTGGCCTCCTTAAAATAGTTGTTGTGGTTTTATTCTTTGTGAGTTAATTAGAATAAAGTCATTTTCTTCCAAGAGAAAAAAAAAAAAGATTTGAAATATTGGACAAGTTAACTTATCCTGAATGTGTGGAAGATAACTACCGCAGCTTAGAACGCATGAGCTGCTCTTTACTATGTTTTTATGAACCCACCTAAATGGAATGAACAATAAAAGAACCTTGGAATCTGTTTCCATTACGCAAACTTGATGGCACACAGGTGAACTGCAAAATTCCAACTGCAGAATTTCATGATAATTGATAGGTATTCCTTTATGTCTAAGATGATTTCAAAATAATCATCTCCTTAGAATTCGTGGCAACAGATAATGTATTAGTTTGCTGGGGCTGCCATAACAAAGTACCACAAACTGGGGGTGGGGGTGGAGTTAAATAAGAGAACTTTCTTGTCTGACAGTTCTGGAGGCCAGAAATTTTCAAACATACACAAAAGTACAGAGAATAATATAATGATATATGTATCCATCACTCTGTTTCAACAGTGACCATCATTTTGTCATTCCTGAGAATGAGGAGCGCTCCAGAGTGCAGTTTTTGGAGATAATGTTTTAACTAAAAAGGATTACTTCAATTGGGACTTTTTTTTTTTTTTTTTTTTTTTTTTAAAAAATTTGCATATCTGCTTCTCTCTAC